CTGGCAGAAGCAGAGAGAGAGAGGGAGAGAAAATGATGACAAAAATATAGCACCGTCTGGACAGTGCAGAAGGAATGACCCATACAAGGACCAACATAACACAGATGGCTAAAAATTGAACAGGTAGAGCTCATGCTCTCCACCAGCCCCCCCAATTGTGGGGGTTGATTTGTCACTGCTAAATTAGGAAAGGAACATTTCACATCAGCAACACATAAAAAGTCTTTCTTGTTGACTTCTTCTCCTACCCAGGATCAATGAGGGCAAGTAACAAGATAGCCAGGGCTATTTTGGGGCAGGAACGCACAGGAACGGAGTTCCGGCTGGCTCCTGAGTTCGCCACGCCCAGCAGGAACTCATTAGTATAATAGGCCACACCCAACTCATTAGGACTGGCTACATTAGGGGTGTGTGGCCTAACATGCAAAGGAGTTCCTGCTACAAAGAAAGGCTCTGGGTGTTGACAACAAACGAGGTTAACAGAATAACAAGCAAAAGGTGGGTGTGGCTGGATAACCACACTTCTGGTAACGTGGGTGTGTGACCTAATGTGCTAATGAGCAGTGCTGTCAGGGTGTGGCCTAATATGCTAATGAGTTTCTGCTGTTGGGTGTGGCCTATTATGCTAATGGATGGCGTCCCCCCGCATCCCCCCCCAAATGACCCCTGGTCTTGACCAATGCTCCCTCTAAGCTGTGGAGTCTTGTGAGCAGAAATTCTACTTTGTGAGCCACTAGCATTAAAGTGGTGAGTGAGCAATTTGGCTGCTGCATAAATTAGTCTGCTCCGGAGCCATCCTTCCTGAGCTAAGACAGAAATGTGTGAGCCGGAGGCTAAAAAACTGTGAGCTAGCTCACACTAACTCACCTTAGAGGGAACACTGGTCTTGACCTAAAACACCCTCCCCTCCCACAGACCCGTGTGGTGTAGTGATGAGAGTGTCAGACTAGGCTGGTGTGGGTGTTCCAGGTCTGAATCCCCACACTCTGCCATGGAAGCTCACTGGGTGACCTCGAGCCAGTCACACTCTCTCAGCCTAACCTACCTCACAGGGAGAGAGTTTCAGAGGGCAGCCATGCTGGTCTCCAGTAAAAGTTAGATTTGAGTCCAGTTGCATCTTAGAGACCAGCAAGCGTTTCCGCGCACAAGCTTTCAAGAGTCAAAGGGAAGACGACCTCACTGGGTTGTTCTCAGCATAAAATGGAGGCTAGGGTTGCCAGCTCTGGGTTGGGAAATACCTGGAGTCTTTGGGGGTGGAGCCAGAGGAAAGTGGGTGACCTTGGACCAGTCACAGTTCCTGTCAGAGCTCTCTCTCAGCCCCACCTGCCTCACAAGGTGCCTGTTGTGGGGAGGGGAGGGGAAGGGAAGACTATTGTAAGCCACTGCCTCTGAGACTCCGGGTAGTAAAGAGGGCTATTTTTGGGCAGGAACGCACAGGAACGGAGTTCCGGCTGGCTCCCAAGTTGGCCACACCCAGCAGGAACTCATTAGCATAATAGGCCACACCCAACAGCAGAAACTCATTAGGACTGGCTACATTAGGGGTGTGTGGCCTAACATGCAAAGGAGTTCCTGCTAAAAAAAAAAGGCCCTGGGTTTTGACAACAAACAAGGAAAACAGAATAACAAGCAAAATGCCCATACAATATCCCCGAAAGATGGTCATCCAGCCTCCGCTTGAAAATGTCCAGCGAAGGAACAAACATCACCACCACCACCACCTCCACCACCTCCTCCTCCTCCTCCTCCTCTTCTTCTTCTTCCCCTCCTCCATTTTATACTCTCAACCACCCCCACCACCCTATGAGGCACATTAGGCGAGGAGAGGGTGACTGACCCAAGGTCACCCAGGAAACGTCTGAGGCAGAGTGGGGATTCGAATCTCTCAGATCGTGGTCTAATCATTCAGTCTAACCATTACCCCATGCTGGCTCTCAAACTTGGGATTTCATACTTGTTCTGCCTGACAGGATTGCTGTGAGCATAAAAACTGGGAGTGGGGGCGGGGAATCCCATGTACACCACCCTTAGCAAGGAGAGGCAGACCACCGGTACTCTGCACGTGGCCTGCCACTCATGGGCAGCAGGAGATGGTTTGTGTGAAGGTTTCCCATCTCCAGGGACTCATTAGCATAACTCATTAGCATATGCCACACACCCTGACATCACCGGAAGTGTGTCCTCCCCACAGCCGGCGGCGACCTCCAGCGGGCACCAGCAGGGAGCTCCAGGCCCCGCCCTCCCGCACCTCACCCGGGGGGGGATGGCGTCCCCCCGCGTCCCCCCCTCAAATGACCCCTGCCTGCCACTCATGGGAAGCAGGAGATGGTTTGTGTGAAGGTTTCCCATCTCCGGGATGGGAAATAACTGGAGATTTGGGGGGTAGAGTTTGAGGAGGGCAGGGTTTGGGGAGGGGAAGGACCTCGATGGGTTATAGTGCCACAGAGTCCACCTTCCAAAGCGGCCATTTTCTCTAGACGAACTGATCTCTGTCACCTGGAGATCAGATGCCATCCCAGGAGATCTCCAGCCACCACCCGGAGGTTGGCAACCTTATTCGTGTGCTACATGAACAGAATGCCCTGCAGCTTCCAAGAAGTAGCTTACCAGGCCGCATTCAAATATTTCCCAGGAAAAAAACGTAGCGTTCAATATGTTAAAACGACCCATGACATGTGAGTCTTATTTTTAGATTCCAGAAATGCCACAGTGCCCAGACTTTGCTTTTAACATCTGCGCAGCAGGGAGAAAATCAACAGGTACGGCTTTCCCTAACACTAGTCTGCCGCTTGGTGAAGAGCTGCATCTGTGTGCAAACGTGGATCCGAGGCAGATCTGTAAATCCTACCTCCACGGCAACCCCTCCCACTTTCTGCAAATCTAATCGCTCTCTTCTGAGTTTGCAAGTCACACCTTTCCAGCTAACTCACCATGTCTTGCTCAGTACGGACGAAGGCCAGGTCAGACTGGGCTGGCGGAAGGCCTGGAAGCAGAAAGAGCAAGAGGTTAGATTAGGGCAGGGCTGCCAGCCTAGAGCCCAGAGGCCACGTCTGGGTCCTTAACAGCCTCTTTTCCAGCCTTCTGGAATAAGCCCTTTAAGTCAGTGAGATAAATTCTGCAAATAGAAATACAAAAAGACCCTGGTGTAGCTCTTTTGAACCTGAGGCCCAAAGGGATTTCAGTGAATAAGATGCATTTAATGGGAAACGTCTTTGCTGCCGCACGGAGACAGGACAAAGCACCAGATATCGAGAAATGGCTGAGGAAAGGGTGGAATATCACATTAACGGGGAAGAGATCTGCATAAAGGAAGTTCTGGGGAGGAGATGTATATACACAAAATAGGTTTGCACAAATTTGGACTTTGTGGAAGAGTAAGAAATCAGAGGACGGCGGAAGACAGGAAGGCCTGGCGTGATCTGGTCCATGGGGGTCGCAAAGAGTCGGACTCGACTGTGCGACTGAACAACAACAAAGAAGTCTAAAGGATCGGTTAAAAAAGAAATGCTGAACCTTGTTTTGGCAGTAAATTTTTATCTCGTGGATATAACATTATATATTTTGTGTTACTTAGTGTTATGTATTCGAGATTATAAAATTTTGAAAAACCTCTCAGCTGAGAAAGAGCGGGGTGGGGGCTCTTTCCTGGCCCACTCCTCCTCCCAGTCATCCTCATTCAATTTGTCATTCATAAATGTGCCTGAAATATACTAGGTGCTGTACAGGAATAGAATGAACAGACTCCTGCCCACAGGCTCACCCAAAAATATTAAAAAGGGATCTTTAAATAAACCCAAACCCTGGAAACAAGAGGAAAGGGGGAGTGAAAACCTGGCATTGTTGGGGTGAGAATAAAAGAAACCAAGAATTAAAAGAATTAAAGCTACCAGCAGCCCTGCACAGATTAGACCAAAGGTCCAATTAAGCCCGGGGTCCTGTTTCCTACAGTGGCTAACCGGATGCCCTTGGTGACGTGTGGCACTCTAAGGACTAGACAGAAGGCCATCAGATCACAGCTGACTCATGGAGACCCCACAGGGATTTCAAGGCAAGAGATGAACAGAGGTGATTTGCCATTGCCTGCCTTTGCATATCATCCCTGGACTGCCTTGGTCAGGGCTATTTTTGGGCAGGAACGCACAGGAACGGAGTTCTGGCTGGCTCCCAAGTTGGCCACGCCCAGCAGGAACTCATTAGCATAATAGGCCACACCCAACAGCAGGAACTCATTAGGATTGGCTACATTAGGGGTGTGTGGCCTAACATGCAAAGGAGTTCCTGCTACAAAAAAAGGCCCTGGGTTTTGACAACAAACAAGGTAAACAGAATAACAAGCAAAAGGTGGGTGTGGCTGGATGACCACACTTCTGGTAACATGGGGGTGCGGCCTAATGTGCTAATGAGCTGTGCTGTCAGGGGTGTGGCCCAATATGCTAACGAGTTCCTGCTGTTGGGTGTGGCCTATTATGCTAATGAGTTCCTGCTGGGCTTTTTCTACAAAAAGAGCCCTGCCTTGGTTGTCCCCCATTCCAGTACTAGCCAGGGCCGACCATGCTTAGGTTCCAAGATCAGGCTAACCTAACACATTTTTGTCTTCGCATAAGCTTTTATGTCCCTGGGCAGCCGACAGGCAATGGCCACCTTCTGCTCTGGCACCTCCAAAAATGCCACTGAGAAGCACATTGTCTCTGAGGCATGGAGGTTCCATTTAACTATCTTGGCTCATAGCTGTTGGCCTGTGTCCCTCCATGAGTCGGGCGCTCCGGGCATGGAACTCCCGGTGCACATCTGGCTTAGCCCCCTGGACATACAGAGAGGCACAGAAGCAGGGCCGGCTCGAGGTGTTTCTGCGCCCTAGGCGAGGCTGCCTTATGGCGCAGATGCCAACCTCCCGGTGGGCCCTGGAGACCTGGAGACCTCTGGAGCCAGCCACCCTTTTGTTGCTGCCACCACCGCCTCCCCCCCCCACCGCTGCCACCACCAAAGGGGGGAGGAGGGGGGAGGCACAGCTTGGTGCCCCATCCAGGACCCGGCGCTCTAGGCGAATGCCTAGTTCGCCTAGTGGGTGAGCCGGCCCTGCACAGAAGGGCCAGCCCCAGTGAAAAGGTGCCTACTCCCCTATGTGTGAATATAGAACAGGCTGTAACAAAAAGATCCACAATCAGAATTTAAAAACCCAACCTCCCCCAAACGAGTTAGCAGCCCAGAATGAACAAGAGGTTTTAGCCCCGTCCTTCCGTGACGCTTTCATAATTTAAATAGCCCCCCTGAAGTTGCAATTAGCTTTGCATTGATGGGGACAGAAATCATGGGTACCTTCCCTTTGCCCTAAACAGAATTAATTGCGGCTTCAAAGTGGGCTATTTAAACCATGGAAGAGTTAATCCTCCTCGCGCCTGGCAACTCTTCCCCAATCCTTTAAAAAAACAAAAAACCTCAGAAGACCTTAACTGTGGCTCTGTTACCTGTCTCATCCCGTCCATTTGGGCCTGACTTTCTTATCTTTATCTATACCCCCTTTTCCTCCTTGGCGGGGACCCTCCACAACCTAAGCAGGACTGGGAGCCAACCGGGCCCCGGGCTCTCACCGCTTGCAGGCTGTTGGTCAGCTGGATCCGGGACAGCGGCCAGGGGGGTGATGACTTTCGTCCGGGAAGGTACCCGCTTGAGGGGCTGAATCTCAGCATATAGAGCCTCTTTGGGCTGGTTGACCAGCCAGTTCTGGGCAGCCCTGGAAAGGAGAAACAAAAGGACAGCAGCTGAGGCAAAAGGGATGGAGAGATGGACCCACCCAGCCGCTCTCTTGTGATGTAGGGTTGCCAACTCCGGGTTCAGAAATACCTGGAGATTTGAGGACGGAACCTGGGAGAGTAGGGTTTAGGGAGGGGAGGAACCTCGATAGGGTATAAAATGCTATAGAGTTCACCTTCCAAAGCAGTCATTTACTCAAGGAGTAGTGGGATAAATGTTTTCAATAAATAAGTAATAAACGAGTGCTCTATGTCGTCTGGAAATCAGTTATAATTCTGGGAGAATTATACACATTACTAACTAAAAGCAGAACCTACACACAAACCAACCCCTACTTGGATGTCGGCAGCCCCAGGCCTATTCTAGACCTCAGTAACGCTGGCTGTAGCCCTCTACTCCTCGCTGTTCTCTAGGGTTGCAGGCTGGGAAATTCCTGGTGATTTGGGGCTGCACCCTGGGGAGGGTTGTGTTTGGGGAGGCGAGGAACCTCACCAGGGATCACGTGAGGCCACACAGCCCACCCTCCAAAGCAGCACTGGTGCTGTATTAAGCCGGATGTAAACATCGGTTTCAAGGTCTGCAGGGCAAAGCACACCTCAAGACAGACTGAACAAGCAGAGAAAAAACTGTTTTGACGGGCGCGGGACCTCGATAAAGGACCAAACACAGGTGTGGAGCTGACCCGTCGGAGCCACGGCCGTTTATCAGGTACTTGGAATAATTTACGTCAAAGGAGGACTGCGTTAAGCCGCTTTGAGCGAGCTGTATGATACAGAGGAACTTTGCACGCACTGACGCTGTATTAAGCCGGATGTAAACATGCGATTTCAAGGTCTGCAGGGCAAAGCACTCCTCAAGACAGACAGAAACAAGCAGAGAAAAAACTGTTTTGACTGCCGCGGGGCCTTGATAAAGGATCAAACACAGGTGTGGAGCTGACCCGTCTGAGCCACGGCCGTTTATCAGGTATTTGGAATAATTTACGTCAAAGAAGGACTGCAAGGATGGCTCCAGAGCCAACTGATTTATGCAGGAGCCAAATTGCTCGCTCACAGCTTGAATGCCAGTCACTCAACCAAGTAGGATATTTGCTCACAAGGCTCCACAGCTTAGAGAGAGAGGATTGGTTAACCCCCCCTGTGTTTTATATTATCATTCAGATATTTTCTGCTGTCTGGTCTGTTTGTGGCCCTGTTCTCTAGATTTAAGTATCCTCTCCACAGATGGGGCCATGTTGAGAATTAGATATATTGATTAGACCCAGGAGCGGCCAGTTTCGTCCCGGTCCGTTTACATCCTGGCCAGTGTTCCCTCTGGTGAGTGAGTGTGAGCTAGCTCACAGGTTTTTTTAGCCTCTGGCTCATGCAACTTTGCCTTCACTCAGGAAGGAGGGCTCCATTCACGTCCTCCCTTCCAGCTGCTTCACTTCCTTCAGCTGGGCTCTCTGGTCTCAGCTTTCTGCTTCGCTCCGTCCCTTAAGTCTCTGGGGAGTGGAGTCTGTGATCATCCCAGTGAAATACGATTAGGGCCAAAGATGCTTGGGACTGTCAGCGTGAGAGATTTGGGTGGGGGCAGCAGATTTAACCCTTTTTTTGCTGCCTGGAAGGAAACAGGTTTAGCCTCTGGAAGGTCACAACTTAGCCGAAGATTTAGAGATCCAGAGAGGTTTCCAGCCGGGGGAGGGGCGGATTTAACACTTTAGGCTGCCCAGAAGGAATCTGGCTTTGTTTCTAGAAGGTCACAACCAGTGTTCCCTCTAAGCTGTGGAGTCTTGTGAGCAAAAATTCTACTTTGTGAGCTACTGGCATTAACGCTGTGAGCAAGCCATTTGGCTACTGCATAAATTAGTTTGCTCTGGAGCCCTCCTTCCTGAGCAGAGACAACAATGTGTGAGCCGGAGGCTAAAAAACTGTGAGCTAGCTCACACTATCTCAGCTTAGGTTGGCAACCCTATAAGCAGCTTCTGAAATAAGGGATTTTTGGCAGAGAAACTGCAGAGGAGGGGATGTTTAACCGCTTCCCTGCCTGTTGCAAAGTCATCCCCAGGGCTCTTCCACCCAGCACGAGGTAACACCCTAGAATCTGGAAGTCTACGGGGAGGGGGGGGGACCATGCCCAGGAGTGGGTGGGGCCTACAGCGAGAAAGTGATGTGTGGTTATGCATTCCTCAGGGTTGCCAGGTGGGGGGGCTGCAGATCTCCTGGAATTGCAGCTCATCTCCAGACGACAGAGATAATTTCCCCTGGATTTTGTCCAGGGGAGCTGATCTCTGTCAGCTGGAAATCAGTTGTAAAAGCGGGAGATCCCCAGGCCCCACCTGGAGGTTGGCAACCCTATTCTCCAGGAATTTCCCAACCTGGACTTGGCAACCCTATGCCATTGTTTCTTCCCAAAGCTCTTCTTCTTTAGGAAAAGCAACAGTTAAAAATAGCAATTCTTAACTGAGGCCTAGTTGTCCCCAGATAGGAAAAAGGTTAAGCCTTTCTCATTCTTAACGAGATGTACAACTCATGGTGGGAATTCAGAACTTGGAGGGGGACACTGAAGTCTCTCACGACCCTGGTATTCCTTGGAGGTCTCCCATCCAAATATGGGCCAGGGGAGCAACAGTTAAAAATAGCAATTCTTAACTGAGGCCTAGTTGTCCCCAGATAGGAAAAAGGTTAAGCCTTTCTCATTCTTCACGAGATGTACAACTCTTGGTGGGAATTCAGAACTTGGAGGGGGACACTGAAGTCTCTCACGACCCTGGTATTCCTTGGAGGTCTCCCATCCAAATATCGGCCAGGGGCCAACCTTCCTTAGCTTCTAAGATCTGACGAAATCAGGCTAGCCGGGTCGGGGTGCAGTAGTGGATTATAGGCTAAGAACCATCGTGTTGGCCTCCAAATAACCACATATGCAGCTAAGTCCCCCAAAGTGACTTCATTTCCCCCTTTTCCCATCCCTTTGGTTGTGCTGACACATGGCTCTCTGTTCACCTGAGTGCCTCTTTCCTCTGGGCATTACCCCCAGACTTGAAGTCCAACAGAGCACTGTGAACATCCTGCTGGATCAATTCAGCCTGGAGAGGAGAGAGGAAAGAGCTGGTCAAAAGACTGAAGAGGGGAAGCGGAATCACCCTTGAAACTCAAAGCAGACTTTAAGTCAAATTCCTGATGCTAACAGAGGATCGAACCCACTGGGCGATCCCATCAACGTTCGTGGCAGATTAGCAAGGTGCAGCTTTTAGGCTCACAAATGGCTAGCGGCCATGGCAGTGAAACAGAACCTCCACGCCCAGAAGCAGTATACCCCTAAACACCTATCATTGGAGGGCTATGATAGGAGGGAAAGCTTTGCCCTCTGCTGTAGCTTATGAGACTTTGGGAAACGCCTTATTGGCCACACTGGGAAACTAAACACTGAACCCGCTGGACCTTTGGTCTGATCCAGTAGAACCCTTGCTGTCCTTAATTTTCTTACCCCAACGTGGTCGCACTCAAAGAAGTGGACATCTGGCTTGAGCTGGTCAGGCTCCTGGCACACCAGCAGGAGCAGGGATCGGGCCCGGGTCTCGGGGTGGACAGCCTCGCAACGAACCACAGCAGCCAACCCATAGTTCTCCAGCTCCTCCTACAAGGGGGGGACAAAGTCACCAAGTGCCACGCCAGAAAGCCTATTTGGTACCGGAACACAGGAGGCTCCCATCAGCCCCTTCTTGATCCCCGCAGTTGTCCTACGACGCTTCCCTTGGTTGCCGTTTTACCTTTGAGTTTATGTCAAGGAGTTTGACGGCTGATCCGTTGACCTGAAGTAGCATCTCCTGAACCCAGATCTTCCCTTGGGCATCCATGACAGACAGTTTCCTTACAGCATCCTCCACAGTTCCTAAATCATCTTCTTCCCCAATGGAGAAAGTCACGAGGTGCTGGGAGGACACAGATGGAAGAGAGAGATGGGCAGACCGTGCCTAGGACAGAGGTCCTTTGCTCCTTTCGCTGCCCTTCGAACTGAGAATCCTGGGGGGATGGCGGACCACCTTCTTGGAAAGGCATGTTCTCCCACCATTAGCTCTTCCAATGCAAGAGAGCTGGGGTGTGTGTGTTGTACGCCATTTGCACGTAGCCTAGCACATGCATGTAGCATGCACATAAATTGAGGTGTTCTAGAGCCAGTATAGTGTAGTGATTATAGCAGGGCTTTTTTGTAGAAAAAGCCCAGCAGGAACCTATTAGCATATTAGGCCACACCCCTGCCTACCCTTGGCTTGCCCGGGTGCCCCGTGGCTGCGAGAAGCCTGGGCAAGTCGGCCCTTCAACAGGCTGGGGAAGGCACGGGGAGGCATTTAAATGCCTCCCCGATCCTTCCAGCCCCCCCTGGCCCGCCCCCCTTGGAGTCACGGGGGGGGGTTGCTCTCCAGGCCTTCCCTCTGTGGGCGCAGAGGTTTTGGCTGTAGTGGGCGTGGCCAACTCTGAAGCCAGCCAGAACTCCGTTCCTGTGCGTTCCTGCCCAAAAATAGCCCTGGGTTATAGCATCAGACTAGGATCTGGGACATCCTGGTTTTAATCCCCACTCTACCATAGAAGCTGGCTGGGTGACCATGGACTGGTCAATTTAATCTGCCTCATGGGGTGTTTGTTGTAAGGATAAAATGGAGGAAGGGAGAGCAATGCTATAATCTGCTTTGGGTCCCTGTTGGAGAGAGAATTGGGGCACGCATCAAAGTCTGCACAATGTGCAGGGGTTTCCTTGTCCGAGGGAGGTTCTTTCTACGTGTCTCTGCAGATAATATTATGTTCCCCGACAACTGAGGATCTCTGCATTGTAGCCCTTCAGGCTCATAGATGAGAAATGCAATCCTGGCAAGTAGGGTTGTCAACTCCAGGTTAGGAAATCCCTCGAGATTTGGGGGTGATGCCTGGAGAGGGCAGAGTCTGAGGAGGGAAGGAACCTCAGTGGGGGTACAATGCCATCTGGGTTATAGCATCAGACTAGGATCTGGGACATCCTGGTTTTAATCCCCACTCTACCATAGAAGCTGGCTGGGTGACCATGGACTGGTCAATTTAATCTGCCTCATGGGGTGTTTGTTGTAAGGATAAAATGGAGGAAGGGAGAGCAATGCTATAATCTGCTTTGGGTCCCTGTTGGAGAGAGAATTGGGGCACGCATCAAAGTCTGCACAATGTGCAGGGGTTTCCTTGTCCGAGGGAGGTTCTTTCTACGTGTCTCTGCAGATAATATTATGTTCCCCGACAACTGAGGATCTCTGCATTGTAGCCCTTCAGGCTCATAGATGAGAAATGCAATCCTGGCAAGTAGGGTTGTCAACTCCAGGTTAGGAAATCCCTCGAGATTTGGGGGTGATGCCTGGAGAGGGCAGAGTCTGAGGAGGGAAGGAACCTCAGTGGGGGTACAATGCCATAGAGCAGGGGTGTCAAATATGTGGCCCGGGGGCCAGATCAGGCCCCCGTAGGGCTTCTATCAGGCCTGCAGGGGAACTGGCTGTCTTCTGCTTCTTCTTCCAGTTCCGCTGCTGCTGCGTCATCGTAGGTTTGCAGCTTACAGATACACACCTAAACAGCATACTCAAGATTGCAACAGCACAG